GCTGTCCACTGACCATTCAGAAATGGGAAAATACAAAGCAGATTCCTCAAGTGTAAAGGAGTCTAAAAATGCATGTCTTCAAGCCTGCAAAATTTGGAGCTCTCCTGTGTCCCTTTTCCACAAGATTAGATTGAGTAGGGCCCCTTGATGACCAACCAGCTCCTCATAGTGGTCAAAGGGATTCATAGGCCTGGGTCCTAGTGTCTGTGCTCACCGGTGCACCCATGGAAGCAACTTCCAGGGCCAAGCCAGGGAGGCCAGGGCACCAGACTTTATGATTCTAAGTATACTTAGCATGGGAGACAAACTACACACGTGCACTCATGTATGTGTTCATGTGTGATTGTGGTTTTTGTGGATGTAGGCTGAGGGACACTGTCACAAGGGAAAGCCCCTCCCTCAGCATGTTTGTGTGGTCCAGGCTCTGCCCACAGCCTTGCAGATTCAGAGGAAAAGTGTTGTCACCCTACTCAGAGATGGTCAAACACGAGTGATCTCCTGACAGTGACTACATTAGCAGGAGAATGACAAATAACAACATATTCATTCACAATAAAGATTTCATTTTAGCAAATAAAAGAAGATCCAAGAGAGAGTAAAAGTTTGGCACAAAATTGAATGCTATAAAGTTGTTTCTTTTAACCTGCCTGCTATCTTCCTGCTTTCACCTTGTGGCATCAGAAGGACAAGGTGTGGCCTTTTAATCTCGGCCAGAGTTTGTGCTCATGGTGGTTTCCTCAGGGGACAGTCAGTTGCAGGCTGAGCTAATGACTGAAGAGCACACACAGTCATTATGCAACTGTGGGCCTTTGTTCTGTGTAGCACCTGGGTTCCTGCTGAAATCAAGCAGTGGGCAGCTGTGGAGAAGAACTTGTGTGAGGAGTCTTGTGAGTTATGCTGGTTTTAGGAATCAGCTCCCAACTGAGAAAGGTCCTGAAAAAATCTGAGATAAATGCACCTTTGCTTAAGCCTCTCGCATGCTTCCAGCCTTTCCATTCAAAATGCCACCTTTGGAATAGATCTAGTAAATAAACAAACAAACAAGGAAATTTCAGTGAATTCATTATTTTGAAAGAGATAACTGAAAATTATCCCCACTTTAGTTGTGTATAACAGCAGGTAACCATTATCTGTAATGTTAAGAGCTGCTATTTATTGAATACTCACGTGCAGGGCACTGTGAAGGAATTTACATTTATTGATGTATTTGAGCCTCACAACCACCTCCTTTTACAAAGAAGGAAAATGAGGCTTAGAAAAACTAAGTAAGCTGCCTGAGGGCACAGATTGAAGAGTGACAGTGCCAGGATTCTGGTCTAGGGCTTTCCCAGCTCAGAGTCAACTTGCCCTTACAGATCCCTATCTGTGTCGATAGCTGTGTCATCCATCCAGGTAATATTAAATTGTCATCAGATAATTGCTCATTACTTTCTTGTTACAGGGCCTTTGTGCCAGGGAGAAAAACTAGAGAATAAGAAACATGCATGCAAGGCACTGCACATACAGAGAGGGCTCTGAGGCCTGCTTCCTTCACCCCTGAGATTGGATGCCCTTCTTGTAAGCTTCCTGGAGCAGGTGTGACAGTCCCCCATATGTCCTGCTCAGTTTTCATGTGTCTCAAGTAACTCGTACTAATAATAGATAAAACATGAGTGACTTGAGAATAATATACCTTAAAAAATAAACTAGAATTGATTTGAAGTGATCCCTAGAGTACTGTCATGCTCACTTGCATTCCAGAATGTTTTCTTAAGTAGAAGAAAGGGGTCAGGGTGACACCTTAATCCTCGGGATTGCACGGACCCCTGTTCCACGTCCCCCCGAACCTGCCCCATGGGAGGCGCGGCACAGTACCTGTCGGGTTATTTGTGCCCATCATCCCATGTGTTGCAATGGAAAGGGATCAAGACCTGCTGCTAGGAGGCATTCAGCAGATGTGTAATGAAGTAATGAAGACGGGTGGATGCTTCACTTCCTTTTGGTTGGTATTCTTAGAAAGAAACAGCCATAAGAGAGGGAATGCATTTAAGCCTGTGTACAAATACTGGCGATATTTTGTTCCTATTACTCAAAATTCTGTGAACTACTTTATTATCTTATTTCATAGCTTGTTCCAAGTATAATACAATGTAACAAAACAAGCATTTTCCAAGAACATTAGAGGCTTCGTTGTGAGATAAAAATTGGTTTTGTAACGAGGATCCGGAAATGCTGCTATTTGAGTAGATGCTAGCTGTATGACAAGTCCCCTTCTCCCTGAAAATGGCATCACTAGCATTAGGAGACGAAGAAACTGAGGAGTCTAGACAAGAGAGCCCCTATCTTTGAGTTTAGCTATCTGTAGTCTCTCAGATGATACAGGGCCCTTAGAGAATGCTGGTAACGGCGTTAGATCATAGAGGACTTCACTCACCAAGGAGAACAAGAATCCATGGGCTCCACCAGCAGCCTGAGAAGTTCAATGCTAATGAGGGTGATCTGGCGATGGGCAGTGTGGGATAGCCCAGAGATGAGTGGCCAGAGCAGGTTGTGGCATGAATCTAGTGCTAGACAGGTCCCTAACTATTAGGACTGCTGGGATCCAGTCTTTCTAGAACTCTGGTCATCTTCCAGGTCTGTATTCTCTACATATCAGCACTGGGCACAGAATTGGAATGACAGCTTTCTGGGCTGTTGGCCTTAACCAATCTCACCACAGCATCTTGTAGGTTTTGTAGTTTTAACATCTCCTATGTACCACATGGGTGAAAGGCCTGAAAAATAAGATGGGTGGGGCAGTTGTCAGTGAAAAGCTAAATAAATTATATCATTATTAAAATAGTGATGGCGGCAATAGAGGGAAGTGGAGTGAGGGTGGGGGAGAATGGTTAGTTGGTGAGGCCACGCCGGTACAGAGGAATGAGAGGTTTGGGGGAGAAGTCAGTGAGTTCCACTTTGGACATACTTAGTTTTAGAAGTCTGTTAGAATCCTGGAGTCCCCAGTGGTTAGCCACATCTGGAGCTTGTGGGAGAAGGTGGGGCCAGAGACAGGCCCATCACTTTGAGGATGGCCCTTTAAGCTGCGGAGGGAATGAGGTGCCCAGGGAGATTGCAGTGAGAGGCGAGGGGCCCAGGGCAGGGCTCTGAGGAACTCTGACATTTAACCTAGGTGCAGAACCAGAGACGCCTCGAGGAGCAGGCAGAGTGGTCAGAGAAGTCAGGCTGTGAACTAGGAGCCGGTGATGTTGCTGGGTCAGTGAGAGAAGGACTAGTGCTGCTGGGAGGCCAGGCGATAAGAGGGCCAAAAAGCACTGAGTGGATTTAGTGACAAGGAGGTTGATGTGAATTTGGTGAAATACAAGAATGAGTGTGCCCAAGGCTGGATGTGGGGCTCTGAAGCATTTTTCCAGTGTTGCTAAGTTTTAGGAAAATAAAGCCACCGAGGATGGTTATTGCCATTTTCAGAAAATGTGCAACCCCCCCTTCTGGGTCACTGCCCTCCCACTTCATTTGGTGGTATTCTCTCTGGCCCTTATGCTGCGCACTGTGGCCTGCTGACAGTTCTCAGGATGGAAGTTAGAACTGGACATCAGTGAGTGCCTGGTGGGCAGGAGTGGCACCAAGCTGCAGTTTGAAGGACAGGAAGAAGAGCTAGGATGGAATTAGGACTCTGAGAAACATGGGAGGATGAGTTTCTGTACTATTCCCAATATGAAAGTCACTGCAGCAGCCAAGAACTATAGGATTGCTTCACTTTGACCCGAAGGAATAACCCGCTCTAAAGCGCTGTACGAGCTGCCTTTGCCCGGTGAAGGCTGCCCTCAGCCACTTCATTAGATTCGCCTTTGGTCTGTCACCTGTCACCATGCTGGCCCATTACATAATCTGATAGTCCAAGCTTCCTCTAAATGCATTTGGGTCCGTTCATATTCTTGCTGCTGATTCCAGGAACAATGTCCTGTGGCTATCTTAGTAACAGATTGTAAATACCGAGCAAACACCCTGTTTAGCAGGGAAGGGCATATTTGTATTAGACTGCTGGCCTATGAGAAAGCAAGAGAATGGGCCTTTGGGTCTGCAGACGGAGGGGTGTTCCTCTCCCAGGTCCACTGGGGTGCTTGTGGGCTCTTGGGAGGCTCAGTGATTGCACAAGGTCATTTATGCATGTTCCTGGGTGTCCAAAAATACAGGCATCTGCTTCCTCCCAATAGTTCGTATTTTCTTTATTACAGTAACAGGTCTTTAGCCAGCAGCCCAAGAGATCCTTGTTAATAGCCAACAATTTGGGTTCAAAAGGGATAAGATACTGAAATGCTGTGCAGACAGGTTTAGGTGTAATAAATGACCCTTAATAATGCTTGTTATTTGTGTGTCACCTTGTCAGTCTGGCCAAACATTTTTGCAAAAAGATAAGCAACTAGATGTCAAGTTACATCTGCCTTATGAATATACAGACTGAAGAATAAATTCACTAGAAGATGCCTGAAGGGCATTGAAGCTTTGGAAACTCAGTTTTCAGTTTGAAAGCCATCCTGTGTGGCTGGGCAATCCCTTTCTTCTGCTGCTGCTTAACTCAGAGCTGAGTTGCAATTTAGAAGGGCCTTGGCTGGCGCTTAGCCGGCTGTGGTGACACACCTTTGTGTGGGGTAGGCCTCTGCACGAAAGCTTAATTCACCCAGACCAGACCCAAGTCCAGGGACTGACTGAATACGGTTTGACGACATTTTGAATGTATTTCAAACATACAAGTGTATAGATTGAAAGATGTCTGACTTTAAATCTATTTCAAATACAATCTATTTCAAATTCACTATGGCCGTGACCTAAACTTTCTAACTTGTCCTTTTGGTCACAGTTCTCCAGTTAGGTGGTAGGTGTAATAAGGGACCAGTTCTTTGTTGTCCAGGGTTTTAAGCAGTTCTGCTACTGTCAAAGAGGAATGTGATCCCATAATTTTGGGTGCTGCTGTATGAAACTAATGATTTTCTTATGATGTTTCTTATCCCCCCCTCTATGGCCAGGAAGGGCGCCTGTGGCCTTCAGACAGCTCTGGACCTCGGCCAGGCGCCTCGGAGGTAAGGGGGTTGACAAGGGTGCAGTGTGGGTAGCAGGAGGGGAGGGGAGGAGGGAAATAAACCATTACAGCAAAATTCGTGGAAAGGCTGAATGTATTACAGCATAGATTAAGAAATAACAGGTTTAAATTAAGGCATATGCCTGTAACTTTGGTTCAAAAGGTGGGGAGGGGTTTTTTCCCAGAACTCCTAGGGATTATTTGTGCTAGTCTAAAGCTCCTTCCAGAAAGAGATTGAGAATCACTGATCTTCACAGGATCCCATAAGCTGCTAGCAATGAGGTCTGGCAGATGTTGGCATAGTTTATAAATACCTTAGCATGATTCATTCCCACATCTCCGAGTTCAATAGTATGATTTTTAAAATAACATAGTTTTTTGCCTTAAATTAAAAATATGGTATGAGAGGAGTCAATGGATATATCTGTATGTATATATACACATACATATATATGTGTATATATATAAAATATCTTTCCTCTAGAAGAAACTTAGATGGTAGACTAGATGAGAGGATTATGTAAGAAATATAGTACCTGGATTCATTTTGGGGAAAAAAATCTATAATCATATTTACTTTGGAATAGAAAACATTTTTCATGTCAGTTGCGAAAAATAACTACAGGAAAGTTTTATCCAGAAAGAAATAACTGGAAAAGTCTAGAAACCAGAAAGAAAAAGAAGTCACTTGTTCCATATATTTTTTAAGTAATTGATAGAGCAACAAGCTCCTAAATTCATAATTGACCCATAAATGGCCCAATTCATAAACTGATCCAATACCTCGTACCTGCTCCAAGTACTCTTGTGTGAAGTTATAACTTACATTGATAATGAAAACTCTGAGCTGCTCCCCACTTTTCTGAGTCATAGTTGTGAGATCTGGAAGGGATCTGAGAAAGTAGGCAGGCAGGCCAGTCCTCTTACTTTCTGGTGGAGCGGAGGTCTGGGCCAGGTCACGTGGTAGACAGGACCAGAGTCCTGCCTGCACAATGCCCCTCCACTAGTTACTATTTACTGCACTCTAGGAATTATTGTTGTATTCTATTTGAACTGGTGGAAATTGTATACATAGCATATGCACTAATTTCTATGAAACCCAGATTTTCAGTTAACCATAATTCTCCATTGTTGAACCATCCTGGATAAACCCTAGTTTGGCAAGATGAGTGGTCTAAGTCATGAGGAATAAGAAAACTACATTTCTTTACCAGAATAGCCTTTTCCTGTTTTGTCTGGGAAAAATTTTTCAGATGAGTGAGAACACAGACCAAGCATGAATTTCCTTGATAGCATCATGTTCAGGGTTATTATCGTGCCAAGAATGTCTTCAAGCCTGCCTTCTTTTCCTTGCAGACCATGTACGCCCCGCGATCCAGGGACAGGTTTACTGCCCCATCCTTTATCCAGAGGGATCGGTTCAGCCGCTTCCAGCCCACTTACCCCTACGTGCAGCATGAAATTGACCTTCCTCCTACCATCTCCCTGTCAGACGGGGAGGAGCCACCTCCTTACCAGGGGCCCTGTACCCTGCAGCTCCGGGACCCCGAACAGCAGATGGAACTCAACCGAGAATCTGTGAGGGCCCCACCCAACCGAACCATATTTGACAGCGATTTGATAGACATTTCTGTGTACAATGGGGGCCCATGCCCGCCCAGCAGCAATTCGGGCATAAGTGCCAGCACCTGTAGCAGTAACGGGAGGATGGAGGGGCCACCGCCCACATACAGTGAGGTGATGGGCCACTACCCAGGCGCCTCTTTCTTCCATCACCAGCACAGCAACGCACACAGAGGGAGCAGACTGCCGTTTCAGCAGGACAGCTCGGGGAGCACAGTGGTGCCCATCCAGGGCAAAGACAGGAAGCCTGGGAACCTCGTCTGACCCTCCGACGTGTGTTCGAGTTGAGGAGAAAGAAACTGAGGAGGGAGACGGGCTGCCCTGCCCCTCCGCTCCCGAGCACAACATTGTTCAGTTTTACATGCTACAACTAAGTAAAACCAAATGTGCAAACGTGATCTTTGTTTCTGATTCCTTTCAGGGGAATTGCATGCAAACTAGACTGAAATAATACAAACTTCCGTTTGGTCTGACCGCAAACAGTGTTTTTTTGGGAGCAGGCCTTGGGACGGGGGGTGGTTTTGGCAAAGGGTGGGCAGGGGAACACAGAGAAAGGGATTTGAAGATACCATGAAATAAAACCCACAGAGGTATTTGATTTATTTAATTGTGAAAGGAGACTTTGAAGAGAAAGAGGCCAGAATGGCCCGTTTTATAATTAACTGAATAAAGAAGGAACCGTTATTATATATTATCATGGGGAAGAAGTGGCCAGTTTGCTTTTTCTCCCAAGGTGTGGAACTTTTATTTTGTTTTAAAAATATGATTCACATTTCCTGTTTTGTGTGCCAAGGTATAAAGTGGAGAAGTTAGATGAATGCAAGGAGTTAATTTGTGTTGTGACGATGTGTTTTTAAAAGTTGCACTATCTTAATGTTTAAAATATATATGAGGGAACTGTTTTATGTGAAGTTCTGTATGTTGTCTTCTCACCTGTGGATTATCAGGCCCAAGGAATATCCCGGAGTGTCATCCACAATCATGCGAGAAAAGGTGTTTGGGGGCGTAGCCTAACATATGCTTACTTACGTAAATCAGGAGAGTCATCGGCGTTGCGAGTCAAATGTCGGTGCATCACTGAAGCACTGGGAGGCTTTTGGATGGAAGAGAGGAAAGACTAAATTTCAGCCTTTCTGACTTGTTGAGTCACTCTGCTAGTCTTAGGCTGCATACTTTACTAAAAATGAACCCAACACATGCATTTATGTATCCAGTATCATGCAGTACTGCCCTCATCCTCCAGCAGTGCAGTTTCTTCAGTAATTTAGGTTTTTTCACTGTAGCATGAAATATACCTAGATGCATACATTATTTTATGCAATAAATTGTTTAACATGCACGGTGGTTATTTTGAATCCTGTTGAAATATGTGACTGCTCAGTGCATCCTCGCTGTCTCTCCTTCCCCAGATAGTGCAGTGCGGTCTGGACGGCTGGTCAGCGCACGGGCGGCTCTCAGCAGCTGTTGCCCATGCAGCCCGCCCGCCCAGGTGTGTGAGTGGCACCGGCAGTGGGTTACTTCACACATAGGAAGGCCCTGGAATTGAAGGAGACGAAGTTGCTGAGCATAATAAGCCCCTGAGCTTGACTAGCGCTGGCGCGGTGTTCTTTGAGGAAGGCAGTCCTCAGCACTCGCCCAAACTGCTGCGGGAGTCCACTCAGCCTTTGTGATGGTGGCCAGAACTGACGGTCAGTTATAACTCAGTGCAGGGAGCACAGGATAAAAAGCACAACATGCAGTTAAAATGCAACTAGGAAACTAATTTTAAATATTGTTAGTCTTAATATTCCTGATATTTACCAACATTCATTCTTATGTAAAATAACTTTCTTCTGCAGAAGCAAGCATCTGGCCTTTATAAGTAGCAGCAGCAGCAGCAAGTTCGACCAGTACCACCCATGGCAGGCCTATCTTAACAGGGTAGCACCAGCCTGTTGTGTGCAGTGAGGTCCCTTCGGCCTCTGCGTGCCAGAGTGGACTGGAGTGATGACTCAGGGACTCTGGTCTCCGCGGTTAATGTGTTCCTGTCTGTGGGTCTCCGAGGTGGTTTCTCTGTGGGTGACTTTGTGCTGTTGGCTGAGAGCTGGAGAGACCATTCTGAACTACAAATCCTGTCCACTGTCCTCTGCTGCTTTCTGCTGCTTTTCTTGGTCAGTAGGTTGCTGGTTTTTGTTTTGAGGATCGGAATCTCCATTAGATTCATCCATTTCACATAGTAACATCCACAGAAATAGTCAAACTCTCAAAAGGAGAGAGAAAAAATGTGGGCGACAGTTGTCACCCATATTTCAGACCTGTTTGGAAGTGTGTACGCTGAGGGTCGCAGTGGGAATTCCGAGACTGGGCCGAGCCCTGGGCGCCTCGACTCAGGACCAGAGATTTCCTTTCCCACCACCCTCGAGCCTCCTGACAGGTAGCTGATCACCTAGATCACAAGCCTGTGCTTGAGGGAAGCTGGGAATCTCCAGGGCGTGAAGCCTCACCTCGCCCTGTCAGGTGAAGATTAGGAAGCGCTTGTCCCAGTCAGGACCCCACTGGTGGTCAGTGTCCCCTCAGACGCAAAATGAGGTTAGCTACTGGTGTCATCATTCCAAATCTTGCCTGCAGTTTTGGTAGTGTGTGAACCCATCCTATGACTCCAGCTCAAAATGGCTTTACAGTAGTCCTTACTTTTCTACCTGCTGCAAGAATAGCTGTGGTCAGAAACTTGTACGTTCCTTAGTCACTTTGCAAGTATATGGACATTTGCAGATGTTCACAGTACTGGCAAAATAATTATTTAATTCAGCGAACTTTAATCTTCCTTCAAAAGAGAGGTTCTTCCATTCAGCCACCCTAGAGAATTGCCCTTTAGGTTAAATAGTTGTTTAAAGACACAGACATATCAAACCATGACTTGAATGGTCTTTGAGGCTAGGCCTTTGTAATGAATTAGTTTATCCAGCCAAGGTCATAAATTGAATTGATAGTCAGTTCCCCTTCAACGCAGAGAAAGGCTGATTTAGATCAGTAGGGCTTTTGAAGGTTGTAGTTACCCTGTTCACACTGTGCCCATGCTGGCCTGGCGTGGAAAGACAGAGGAATGACTGTGAAGATGCAACTTGTACCGTGGAGCCTAATGTTCAAAAAGCCATTATATGCTTATGGAACCTCAGGGTCCGTTTTAGAAACCAGTGATTTAGGCCATCAATGATAGGTTTATTAGTTCAGTAGTGCTAAGGGATTGCATTGTTTGAAAGAATAGTTGGTGGGAACTGATACTCCTGGGCATCCTATTGTGACTTTTGTCCATTGTTCCAGGAGCTTCCAGGAGTGTGAAATCCAAGGCATATTGAGTCCCCTTTATAGGAACAGTCTGCAGGCATCTGTTTGCTTTTTCAGAAAGTTAGTTTCTTCAGATACTGAAGCAGTCCTTAGTACAAAGGAGATTTTGCTAAACAAATTACACATTTCAAAAGTTCATCTTTTCTTTCTATCTCTGACCAAAACTTAGTATTAAGAAAGCTTGACAAGTATAGCCTCTATCCGTCCACCACATATACACATGGACACATAATGCACAAGACATTTCAAGATGGCAGAGGAGAATATTTGAAATTTACAAAGATTTGTCATGAGGACTATACTTAAATCCACTCATTTTAGCTCAAACTTATGGGAGCAAATACAGGCCAGTAGTAAACTGGGAGGCCTTCTAACACTGGCATAGAAATGTGGTACACAGATGAGAGTTTCTAAATATCTCCAGTTGATCTTCTTCACTTTTATTTTAGTTTCATGGGAATGAGAAGCACTCATAAGGCAAGCACTTTTAGAAACTTCTGATCTAGAAGAGTCCATTCAAACCCCTGCCTTCCTCTCAGAACTGGTAGTTGCATCCTGATGGGTGATCCTGCATCTTCCATCCAATTGCTCTTCCCGCTAGGAAGTCTTTAGGAAGAGTCCTGGTGTGGTGCCCTTCAGATGCTGGTCCTTAGCACAGAGACTCACCGGGCCCTGCCCCGCCCCTGAAAAGCATGCTGTTGGCCACTGGAGGCTCCTGCGTCTTTCTGAGCCGCAGTGCAGCGGAGCTGTGAGGCTGCTCACCCCTGCAGTTCCGCTGGTCAGCGCCTCACCTCTTGTGTTTGCTGTGCTGGTGCTCGCTCCTTCACATTTGCTACTTGGAAGGGCAACATTAACTGCTGTTAACTGATATGCCATTCATTTTTTTTTTCTTAAAATTGTCAAAGCTCAGCAACGTATGAAGGAAAAGAAGCTAGCAAGAATACTTGGTTTTTGTTAACTTTTTGATTTTGTCTATGTAACTAAAACTAGAAATACACCAGTGCTTGGCACCGAGCCTTAGTTGGTGACATAATCCCCCAAGCCCACCTCCTCTCTCCCTACCAGTGTCCCATCCCCAGTCTTAGCTGAAGAGCAGGGATGCAGGCTCCCATTCTGCTTATGTTCACCTAGATTCCCACGGCCGTGCAAATTTAGATAACACAATTGGGTGACAAGTTGGCAAGTCTCCCCTCCTTAGTGTGAGGAGCACTGTCTCTACCAGGGGCACCCCAGAGTCACAGATTAAGGAGTTTGGCTGTCACCTCAGACCACAAATGTTGGTCTCAGCAGCTTCGTGGCTCACTTAACTCATGTATTCCAACAAGGCCCTGTGGCCAGCTGCCAGAACCCATCTAGGGAGCAGAGGAAAGTACTCTCCTGCCGTGCAATATCCTACATTTTCTAGGAATCAAGATTTCAGCTTAAGCTATTTTAATACCCAAAGTGCTGCATCTCTTCCATGGTTTAAGTTTATAATTTACTACCAGGGTTAGATCGTCAGTTGCTCGCTGCTGCTGCTGCTGCTGCTGCTGCTGCTGCTTTCCAGGTTGGCTGCCTTAGAAAGCCAGTGTGTGTGAGTAGGAATGCCTGGCTAAGAAAGTGCTGTCTCCCTCTCATCCTTTTCTTTCCTTCCTCACATGTGGTTTCCGTGCTTGTTTATGTGCAATGTGGTGGGGGTAAAGCTATAGAGAGATTATCACACACTTTACACACATATCACATAGAGCCGTATCATTTCAAAGAGTTCTGCATGTCAGTAGTAGTTAAGCAACCAAGGTGTCGCATATTCTTTCAGCAGATAGAGGCACCAAGTCCCCCCACTGCCACACTCTGTGCCCCCACCTTTGTTGTGCCTCACTTACAATGGTGCTTTTTCAGTTATCTGTCTTCTCTTATGTTTTTATTTGTAAGGTGCTGTATATAACTTGAATATATAATGCACATATCCTACCCAATGGGTAGAACAAAAAATTGTTAATACTGTAGTATAATGTATAGATACCAATTTTAACAGAAATGGCATAGAATTTGTGAATGCCTATGTGCTCTGTCCTCTTTTGTAAGGAAATTTGCAAATGGATGCATACAGATAAAAGTCTATGTAGTTTATTTTCCTATTAAATATCAATATTATAACACAAAGCAAAGAAGTCTGAACAAGCAAGCCACAGTTTATGACCAGCGTCTGTATAGCAATTGAGAGTTACATCTTTGCTGTGAAAACATTTTTAAAAAGTAGTTTAAAAAATCCCACAGCTTTTTGGTTGCCACTAGATGCTTCTTATTTTAATCTGTTTGGGACTGCTCAGTTGGATCAGTGTTATAGTCAGAAAAAAATGTTGAGTTTTCAAATTGCTTTATGAAAAGACATTATCTCATTGTAGAATAATGAAGTCAGCGCCCAGTGAAAAGTGAACATTTTGTTAAAATTGCAAAAATTATGTCCGAGTAAGTGAATCGGCCCGCAGCAGAGGCCTCTGTTCGTGACCATCTGCATCATGAACAGACTCGTTTATGACCATCTGGGTCCCTTTTTCTTTGACAAATGGAAGCTGTGGCGCCAATGAACTAACAGTAGTTTCCAGGGAGAGAATACCTCAGGAAGAACGCACCCACCGAGACTCCATTCTTAGAAAACACGTTTCGTTATGGGTTACAATTAGCAGAGAACTGGCTATCAGTCAAGGGGAGACTCTTACATCCGTTCCTTTTGGTGTCTCAGTGATCTCGACCCCCCAAAAAACTAGGTTTTGCTGTCACTTAAGGATTACGTATTCAATTGCACATCATGTCACACCTCTCTTACTCATCTGTTTCCAGCTCAGTTTTTAGTGTCTGATTCTGACTTCTGCATTTATCTTCAAATATTCTAATATTAAAAAAGAAAACCCAAAACAATGTGTTCACTAAGACCGCTGTTGAATCACGGGTGTGGGCCTCAAGCAGTGAAAGTTTGCCTGATCCATATTTCCAGTTTATTCTGTCACCAGAGGATATTCTAATAGATTTCATGTTTTTTATTGCTTTGTGGTGTGTTCTGATTTTGAAAATCGCAACAGAATCATACCCTTATCCTCCAGAAAACAAATTACCATTATCCTTAAACTGAAAACACCTCTACAGTGCAACTCTTAATGCTGAATTAACTAAAAGTCAGCCCTTCTTTTATCATCTGTTTTGAAAGGGCCATGAAAAGATAATTATCTTTTGTGTTCTCTGTCCCGCCCCGCCCGCACTGTCTGCTGCGCTGTCCACTGCAGGGGCTCCCTCGAGACTCAGCATTAAGAACCAAGGCTCCTTACTGTCAGAAACAACACTCCCACCCCTCCAGGTTCAATCTCTTGGGAGAACTATTGAGCATGAGGGTCATCAGAGAATGTTCTAGACTCAGAGGTACTAAAATTTGTTACCACACCATTGCTTCCTTTCTATAGAACTAATTGAGGCTTAGACTTTACTGTTAATGATACTGGTTCATTTTAATGTGCTTTGTTGGTATATTGCTACTTTTCATTTTATGGCTTTCAAAAATCACATTTTCTAATTGTATACTTGTCTAGTTTAGAGCTGTTTTAAAATATGTACAATACTATTCACAGCATTAGTTCATCTAAATTTTATTATAAAGCAGCCTACTACAGTACAACTGTATTTGAACTTTTCAATAGTTGTTTATATGAGCTACAATAATCACAAGTCATTTAAGTCTTTTTTTAACAGGCATTTGTGCTTACTTTTCAACATAATTCCCAGTTATATACAGAAAAGGTTTCCAACTGTTGTGCACCTGCCTCTCTTACTGAGCAATGGTGGTGTAGTGCTTAGACCTACGGTCCTAACTGCAATACTTTTAAAGGAAGATGTCGCTCTAAGTGCTGTTTGTTAGTGATGAAATCAGCTTTTTCTGCTTGTTCTTAATGCTGTGGTCAAACCATAGCATAAAAATCATTAAAAATAATCAGTGATAGACATGTGTCTCCTGGTGTGTGTGTTTTTTTTTTTACCCTTTCAAAAACAAAGCACGTATGTGGGAAAAAAACTGCAGGTTTTAAAATTCATCTCAAAGAAATGGTTCTTTTGTTTCCCTAACTAACCTTTCCATTCAGCTTTTATTCACTCTGATTTTTCAAAAATCATTACATTCTGCTATAAACAACTCTTGGTCAGATCCTATCATACATCTTTTCTCCACTCTGCATCCCACAGAGAACACACAGGGCCGGCCTCAGCCCTCAGCCCGGGACCAGCCCTGAAGACTGCCTCACCTGAGCAGAGGTGCCAGAGGAGTCTGTTATCCTCTTTAAGTTTCTGGGTGGCTGTCACAGAAGAACCGAAGCTGACTCAGCCAAAACATGACCAAGATTTCTAACAGGCGATTCAGCATCAGACAGAGGCCCTCAGAGGCAAGGCCCTCGGACCGGAAGTTTTCAGTACATGATAACATAGCAAAAGGACTCAACTTCCTTCACTGAGAGATTAGAATAATGCCATCTCTAAGCTCTAAATAAGCATGTGGGTTCACAGAGGACAGGATTGTGTAGGTACACAACCTTACGCAATCTACCAAACTACTAGAGTAAGTTTAGCTTGGTTGCAGGAAATACAATCTATTTTTGCATTTTCTATATGTTAGTAATCAACTTTGGAAATTAGAAACTGAAATCTTAAAAATACCATTTAAATAATTGTATGGGACCAAAACTATAATTATAACAGCCATTTTAAATTCTGAATTAATTTCTTTAAGATTATTTTGGGAAGGGGATTAGAAAGCTATAAGGAGTAAAACAGCTATAAGAAAAGGATGTCTTTCCTTTAAAACAGCAAATAGTCACTGATAAACCACACCATGCTCAGGAATAAAGACTCTAATCTCATATTCAGCAGAGAAATATTAAAGAATATTCTCCAAACTGGCTATCCCTGAGTAAAGCTAAGACTAGTGTAAATTGAAATCACAGAGAAAGTTCTGCACAGAAACAAACAGGGGACTCAGGGCTTGAGATTCCTACCTGATGATCAGATTCAGGAAACCCTAGGGTCAGCTTGTCCCAACAGAGCAACAGCGCCCCTCCCTCCCCCTCTGCCAGGAGTCTATACCAAGCGTCATCTGGTAGCTGCTGGTGTGGGGTCCCCTGGAAGTAAAGGCGGAGTCAAGGATCCAGATGCAGGTAGCTTATCTGGGAGCTGTTCCCAGAGGTGGAAGCAGGTGAATGAGGGAGGGGGGAGAGGAGACAGTGAATTGCTCGCAATGGTTTCCACTCTAAGCAAAAAGGGCTCAGAAACTACACAGGCTGCACCTTTAAAGGACAGAGGCAGGGATACCCATCTCCACTGTTGAGCGTTGACCTTTGGGATTATCTTCCCAGAGCCGCTCTGACTGTGGACTGAGCAAGCTCTAAAGACTTCAGAAGCCCTGAGGCAGAAAAACACAGACAACCAATGCCTGGAAGCTGCTGATGCACACAGGAACTGTCCATCCCAGCTGGAGCTGAAATGATGGTGGCCAAAAAGCATCAGAGTGGCGCTCCCACGCCTCTGCAAAAGTGCACACCACACTCAAGAGCATCCTGGAAAGTGCCAGGCACTGTCAGCCAGGAGAGCCAGGCAGAGGGACGCCGAGCTCTGGACCCACTGTTTTCCCAGATGGGCTTATGCTCAGTCCCGGTAAGAAAAGGAGCCTAGCACCTCTCTCCTCGACAACGGTCCCCGATTCTGCCTGGGCCTCCTTACGCCCCAGCCTGGGGCTGCAGCAATCCTGCGCTGCACTGCAGTGCTGCCGAAACAGGCCGCTCTGCACCCCAAACCCTCCAGCCTCTGGCTTTCTTTGACCAACTTTTTCTGTCAACCAGCTTGTTTGTGAAAGAGCAGAGCTGCCACCTGCTAAGCTCATCAACTAGGAATCGCCCGCATCAATGCCGTCTCCCTGCACCCTCAGGGGAACATTCAGAAATGCAGGGCAGGCTTCGAAGTTGCTCCAGAATCTTCCAGAGATCCCATACAGTGAGCGCTGGAACAAAAGACTGTATTTCTGACTCTCTGTGATGATACTTGCATACAACAGCTTATAATGAGTCTGTTACTCAGAACATCATAATTAGATTTCTTTCATTATGCTGTTTTGATCTGTTTGCTTTAAATGGATTGTAATTAAAATGCACATTTTGAAACAGCAGCCATAAAGTAAAAACTTTGCATTTGCAAAGTTCTTTGTTTTAATGCCATGTTTCTGTCTAGACTTTGGCTTTTGCCCTAATAATGCAAACCTCATTCACCCACTTTACACTCTCACTTTTTAAAAAAATTAGAAGTGCAAAAGCTACAGTTTTAATCATTTGAACATAGCATGGTTGTGACTAAAGTGCAGACTTTCAAACGGCCTCCCCAGTAAGCATTTATGTATATTTACAAACAGTTGTATATAGTAGCTTCTGTGTAACTTGACCTGTTTACAAAGCTATTTGCATTCCTAGAGTTGTACTGTCGCTACTGTCACCAGGCATCTGTAAGCACAAAATGTGTTACAACCCGCACTAGCCAACAGAGGACACGAGCTCTGAAGCCAAAGCACACACATCCTTCTCTCCCGTGGCGGCCAGCAGGCGACCCCACCCCTCACCTCTTCTCCAACCTGAGCTGCTGCCTAAGTGGTGGCTCCGTCTGTCACTCCCGACTTTGGCCTGGGACTCAGGTGATTTGGCCTTTGCCCCACGTCTCTGAGATTCCCGACTTACCTTAAAGGGCAGCACAGGCTTTCGAGCCTACAGGCCTGAGTGGTTGTCTCTCAGTGTCACCTGTACAGCAGGAACACGGATGGGAACACTGAGGGAGAGAGTGTGCTCGCCACGCAGGGCCCTCAACAAAGGGAGCTGCGACTACTGTGACTTTCATCTTCTAGATTTAATTTTAAAAACATTTTGCCCAATTACTACAGATTTGTACACAGCACTCTGCCCTGGAATGCTGTCTGCACCAGCTGCTGCAGGGTCGTGCCAGTGAAGGACGCAGCACTGACATGGTGCTCCAGCAATCAGACCACATCGGGGAGCAGTCAACGCCAGGGACAGATGACACCTCCTCCCCACAGGTTTTAAGTAAACGACGTCTGTTTCTTTCCCCATCATTCTAGGGGGATACAGGTATTTTTGGCTAATGAACCACACTGTGGGGGAGGACGAGTCTTATGGCCTCAGTAATAAAATGTGAAAATCTAAAGGGAAAATAGTTAAAAAAAAAAACAACAATTTCCCTGCTTGTCACCTCTCCCACCCATTTTTTCCCTTCTCTGGCTTTCCTTCCGTGAAGGGGTTGGGGGGTAGCTAACGCTGCCCTGAGCACTGTCATCAGCTCCCCTCCACTTCCCAGGTTAGGCCTGAAGTAGACCTGGGATGGGCCTCAGGCTCGAGGGGCCGGGCTCTGCACTTAGGCACCTCTGCCTTTTTGCATCCAGAGCCCAGGCCATGTTCCTCGTTTCTCTTTGCTGACATGGGCGCCTTGCTGCCTTCTGGAATACTACCCACAAGCACTCAGCCTTTCGCCTTCCCATCAACCTTCTTTAAACCTCAGAGGAAAGCAAGTGTTCTCCGGCTCACTCTGACACATCTTTCACCATCTGCGCGGCTTCCCTCTCAGTGTCTCCACTCAGCACAGCTAAAGTAGAGCCCCGGAGAGGCTGGAAGCTACGAGCCAGGCACCCTCTGCACGCAGACAGAGGGCCACTGCCACGACGGCAGCAATCTGCTGCTTCCCCTCTTGCTGTTCAGCTGTTCCACATGCACGCATGCTGCCCACACGCGAGTGGTGAGGGACACAAGGCAAATGCAGCCGGCAAGTTTTAGCCTATTGGGTCCAGAAGAGACAGTCTCCCTGCACAGAGCAAAGGGCCTGGCAGGCTGACACTGAGAACACAGGTTTCTCTGCAATACTTCATGATCACAGAGCTGCGCACACGGGTATGAAGAGCCAAGGTATACGGCTGGTCATTTTCATGGGCTTCAGAGGCCAAGCTCTGTCCTTTGGTGAAACCTAATAGTTCTTAATCAGGGATATACTGAACTTCTTAGTGCTAAAACTTTCCACAAATGCCAGCTTCTGATCACTTCAGATGTTTCAATGATTGGCCCCAAGTAAACGGAAAATTCCAACCTGAGCTGGCTCCAAGTATGCCACAAACACAGACTAGACATCATGCCCCCCAGCATGACCTGCACACAGGGGCAAGAGGAAAAAACAAACTCACTTTTTCTTACCAAGAGGGCACTGGGGTATTTCCTGAGGTCAAATCCTCTTTGGATATATGATAGATTAAACATGTACAGATGTATAAAGACTACATCTCATCACCAAAGTTTTGATTACTTGCTCTCAAGTGTGGATTTAGGTGTTTGAAAATAGCTCCTAACTGCATTGCCAAGGTCAACCTAGATAGTCACAAGATGCCAGAACTGAACTGGCCAGCGGCAAACCTTCCCCTCACACAATCTGAGAGGAAAACGAAGCTGGAGCACAAGACACGAACGAACGTTTCCTTTCTGTAACCATCAACAAGAGACAGAACAGCCACTCTCTCCCTTTCCAGCCCTCTAAAGAAAGAGATGCAAATGGTAAGAGTCTAAAAGAATTAAAGAAAAATTATGAAATTAAAAGCTGAAAGAAGGTGGAAGGCACTAGCAGAAGAAGAGAGGGTAGAAACATTAATAAATAGGCTTTAGCTCAAACACACAAGGAATTTCAAAAGTCCCAAAGCATGGACCGACTATCTCAATGGCTGGCATGAGGAACAATACCCACCTGGAGGCTGAGATCCCAACTTCAGACCCAGCTCTCCTGGGCCTCTTTCTTTCTTCAATGAAAATTATTGGCCTCAACGTTCTAAAGTGACAGACTAAAGGCAAAATTCTATAAAAATTCTCTATAAGCCTGGGGTTTTTGACTCAGAAAACTATTAATTTAAAATGCTTCCAAAATAATGCAGTTATTAAATGGTTTAGACTTCTCAACAAAAGTTGAGGTTTTTGTGGACAAACGTGATAATATTTCCAACTTTTTGGGAAAACTAAGACTTGTCTTTTTTTCCTCAACCAAAAGAAGTGAGAAATGCAAATTACAACCCACCATATCCTGCATCTTCCTCACTAGGGGAATAAAAAGTGCATGCTGATGGAGGACCATGGCGACTGAGCCCGTGACTCTATCTCAGACACGGCTGAGGGCGGCCAGGGCGTGTGTGACGACTTCACACACCTCGCTTTTGGCACCCTTAGCATAAGAGAGGATCAAAGTAGCCACTGTTCTTAGAGAAGTAAAATGACAGTGACAATTAAGTCACCATATAAAGTTGTCCAAAGAAAATACTGACTCAAATTCAATAAAACATATGCTTCAATCATTAGAGAATCCCTCAGTTCTAGCACTTAGAAGCGCATAGAAGGAAACAGCTGAAATATTTGTGTATATAGAGAAAATGCTATGAGTTCTTTAAAAAAAAAAATCTAATTTAGATTTAAGGAGTTAAAACAACTAATTGACATAAGGGAAGATACAGAATTGCCCTTATTTCCTATGTCACGTGCTTAGAGTAACCTTTATGGATTCTCACAATGGAGTAAAAGGTATTTGACGGTCCCCCTCTGACTGAGCAAGGGCCATGTGGATCTGCCCCCAGAGATGGAGACGGAGGACTGGCAGGCCACGCCCTGGAAGGTGAGGCTGCTCATGTGCAAGCATGCCTTTTCCTTTCTCACTTGAAAGCGAGTTTTCTAACATTTAAATTGGTCAAAGTTCAAAACAGAAAAAGGAGGACAAAGGGAGGGAGAGGGAAGAAATGTTCTATGCAATCCTCACTTTCAGGAAGAATGGCAGCATGCAGAACATCTCACTATCCTATGAGTTCCGCTCTCATGGACCACGTTGTCCCAGGGAAAACAAAAATGTGGAAATTGCTTTCTCTCTCTCCTTACTCTCCACAAGCACTCTGATCTGCGAAGAAAAGCCCCGTGTTCTGAGGATGACTCTGGGGCTGCTGGTGTACTTCCCCACACTGACTGTCCAATTAAGTCATCAGAATAAAGAATAGTTTTAATGTTAGAATGTTAGATTCTGCCCTGAAGGTTTCTGAAATCAAGATGCATTCTTTCTACTAAGAAGATCATTCTTATTAAAATAGCCAGATAATTGCCACAAGATAATTATGATCTGTGATTATTACTGTGGGTGACTGTCACTGATGCACAGGGAAGAATACAGCTTGATTTTCAAAGCCTCACCCTGAAGAAGCAAGACAATCAAATGGTTGTTTTGACTGGCTGACATGAACCAACTCGACACAGAAGTCACAAAGGAAAAAGAGGAGGAAAAATATATCCAATTGGTCTGACTCAGCATTTCTCAAATACAAGTTACAAGCTCCAAGTGCAGGAGAAAGATCTTCTAAGAATCAAGGCTAAAACTCACGGCTGAAGATAAATTCTGGGAGGAGTGGGTCACCTAGACCATTCAAGTCTTTAAGGAAGAAGAATGAAGTCTTGACTCTATTGTACCTTCAGGTACATGAGGCAGACTCTTTTGAAATCCCATTTAATACTAACCTGATACTACATAACATACAGATGGACTAATAGAGACCAAACAAAGTTCATATATGCAGAATGAAAAATTACAAGTACCCACCTCTGGTTCTACAGAGTTTCTAGTTCAGCTGTTAAATTCCAAGGCGGCAGAGGGGCCCACACCGTGCTATCTGAACACTCGTGTGCTACTTCGGCAGCTAGGCCAGGACGCTTTGATGCCCTGTAGACCACACGGCATGGACAGTCAATTACGTAGTAAGCTTTTAATACTGAAAAATACTTCAAATCAACTTTGGTAACATTTACTCTATTTTAGATTAGGCCTTTCTTATGGGGACTCAATTTTGAAAATCTGAAATAAATGAAGGTCTCCATTTCAAAAACTGAACTGTAGCCAACAGAAGAAATATGTCTACATTACCAAGCAAAGTACTTTTCAGAAAGAATCCTTAAGTAATTCAGAAATGTTTATCTCACAAATAGATTTTATAGAAGTGATATCTTTTCAAAATATTAGGAAAGACGCATTTTCTGCATCGTTTGCTAAAATAACCTCCTGTCCGCTTCATCACCATCTTCTACAGTGGCCTTGTTTACAGTGATTGAACTGGTTAAGAAATCCTGAAAACGGACTGAACCCCGTGCAAAGAAGAAAGGAAAAACTAGATGTGTAATGCACAACTTGTTTCTTTTCCTCAAATACCTCTTCTACTCAAACTGTTAAGATTTTTAAGATTTCTGGAATTATCTTCTAAAATTATTGAAATAAGATAGCCAACAGCTCCATTTCATCCTGGAGCATAAAAGACCACAGTACTACCTTTCATTTGTAAATAAATGGGGGCAGATTCTATAACAACGAATAAACTGAGGATTATATTTGAAGGCATAATTTTATTGTTTTCACTAGGGGGAGGAAGATAATCTCAAAATATGCATTCTTTTCCTCCTTTGTTGAAATCTGTAAACAGCAATCTCTTGTATGCAAAAAGTTGTTTCAGTAAAAGACATTTTTTGGTACTTTTTTAAAAAGGTTGGTTTTGCTATTATTCTTGAATAATCTAAGTCTCTTACCTAATCTATCTTTTTATTTAATTGTTAATTTCCTGAGTAAACCCTTTTCATCCATTTCATATAGGTTAAATCTCAGTCACAGCTGCCCCTTCACCCTGTCAACACATCTTACTGAAATGCAGACCTGCAATGAGACGTGGGCTGCCTGCCCCACGGCCCACAGAAGTTATGGGTGAATCAATCCAAAGCATAAGGTTTACTGTAAATGAAACAGTTTATTATATATAGCAAACTGTATTTACTATATATACATCTCTTGATAATTTAACTTGATACACATTAAAATATTCTGTTAGCCTGCTATTAATATTCCAAATAATATATTATAGATGTCCTCTTTTAAGCAATTTGCAGCTTGCCTTAAGGACCAGGTTAGCAATATGCTAGGCAACAGCATTTGACATGATAGAAATGTTCCTGATGCCAAATAAAGACAAAAGAAACTTCTCACATCTTCAGAGAATTTTTTACTAGAGAATTTCAAAGCACTCATCAGCATCTCACTTTCCATAACTGGTAACACAACACAATTATGAAACTGAATGGCAACAAAACTCAAAGGGACTGAACAAACGGCAGATACTCAGGAAAAGCAAATCTTAGTCTCAGGATTATTAGTACTTCTAAGAACTCACAATTTATCCCCATTGGAAAATATGTTCTGTGCAATATGAAAAGTAAAAGGAAACTGTTTTAGAAGAAAGAGTTCTACATAACACAAGATTTTACAACATAGGCATACTCTCAAGTTGGTCAAAAAAAAAGAAATTAACAAGAAATTTATTAATATCTTGGCATTTAATATCTGCAAAAATGTGAATTATTTAATAAGCTAAAACATGTAAGATGTTTTAGATTTGAGAATGTGCTGTCAACTTGAAATCACACTGTGATTTCAACTCTGTATCAGGAGACAAACCATTCTGCCCGATAAAGACTGCATGTGGCACAGCAGCAGCTGTCACCTCCCTGCTCTGCCCCACATCCAAAAAGACAAGAAAGATTCTACCCACAGTGTTACAATGTAATGACTAGACGTGTCGCAGATGTACCAATCGTAAACATTTTTTCCCTTTAAAGTAGTCTCTAAATTTGACCAAACTAAGTATTCAATAGAAAAGTCCTGCAGAACTGTTGCTGGCAGACCCTCTGACATTCTCCTGCTTTATCAGATCACTCGCAAGAACGACAACCTAGAAAGAGTCCATTGTCTCTTCTGAACACCTATTCAGGGTTAGAATTGAAGTCAAAGCAATTAGAGCAAAAGGAAACAAGGCACACACATCCTTAACACACCCACACAATCACGGCAACTTTCGTACCCAACAGTGGCTGAATTTCATGGCAAGCAGATAATTTAAGATAGCTTTGCTATAGAAAAAGTTCAAGTAAAACACTCAAGCAAGGATGTTTCAATATAAGGGAAAAAGCAGCAGCTACAATTTAAAAATTTACTCCACAAGGAAATCAACATTAACTGTGGAAGGAAGACCTTGGGAGTCAGCTCCCTGACAGCCTGATGCCATTTTCCATCCTCCCAAACCTGGGTCTGCTCGAGAACCACAAGCCTGAGTCGCTGCTCAAGAATGTCTGACTTCAACAACAAATTTAAGGTATAATGATTTTCACTTTTCCTCTGAAAGATTAGTTGAAGAGGCCATAAATGATTCACAGTAGAGTTTTATATTCTAAGTGAAAAGGTACTATAGCCATATATATTTGCTTTAAAAATCTTGATTATGACAAGCTTCAGGTAAAAATCATTTTTAAAGGGTCAATTTTTTCATTTACATATAACCAATACATCTTGTTTACACTTTTTTCAGCTTTCTTCATATAAAGTCTCTATTTTAACTGGTACGTAATTGTTTTTTCTCCTAAGACTTAAATATCCTCTTATTCACAGGTAGTTTTGATGATCAGTTTGTCTCCACAATGAGAACTGAATATAGTTAAAACCTCAGTGAATAACATAAAGATGAAGACCCTCCTGAGGGCCACCTCAGTTACTCAAGGTGTCAACGGCCTCATCTGCATAAATTAGAGCTGCAACAAAGCACAGTACGATTCTGCTTCTGCCGACCCTGAGTAAGAGCGCTGACTCGTAAAGCATAACTACTGCCTAATGCTGCTATTGATGTGAAATTCTCATACTGGGTTCATTTTTTCTTTTCAAAAAACACTGATTTTTCTAGTGATATTTAATGTTAAAAAGGTATCATAGTTCTTTAACCCTCAGAGAACTGGTATATTTAGGCAACTAACCAAAAAATAATCAGGAGCCATGTATCTTTGTCCACAGTCTCCGAAGGGTTAGAGTGCAGGAACTGTCTATAACCTGTTATATAAGGCACCCTATTCCACTTTTTTCTTAAAAGAAACTTTTTCTTTGGTTTCTTGTAATTTTTCAGTGAGTCTATCCTTCGTTTCTTCCATTTTCTCTGTGAGAAGCTCCTTTGTCTCTTCCATCCTGTCCTGTAGATAGTCCTTAACAGGAGGCGGTGTCGACATGTAGCCACGACTGCGCAAATACTTCACAGTGAAGGAGGTTCCTCCCAAAGTCACCGTATACCGGGCAGGGGTTGCGATCTGAAGAAAACAGCAGAGGGAGATCAACACCTGATTAGAACTATTGGCTCAAGCAGAAATGATTTGAAATTAAAATTCTTGGTAATAACCAAATAGTACAAATTACTTTACTGCTTCACAAGGCTAATATAGTTACATCCCGTATGGTTTTCCTGTCTAACAAGGGATGCTTCCTCCGTGAACTCATCTTATAAATATCTGTCACTCAGACACTGACCCAGGATTACAGAATATTTGCAGTTGTGGCACTGAAGTCTGTAACCAAGTGTTAGTCACCTTGACGAGGCAGGTTCACCAGGAAATCGGAACAAGGGGTCACGACCACTACCAACAACAAAGGCACACGTTTCCATTCCTTAAAAACGCTGCTGACCTGCAGCCATTGTATACCCAGAGCTGAACTGGAAACAAAGCACTTCAAATGGTGAGAGGCAAGCATGGGCCAAGCGGTTATTCTTCACTGAATTTAGTTTCACTTCCAAATCTCATTCCTTTGTCTTTTCCAGGCTTTATGCCACTTTCTCATTACAATCCACCCTGGGTCCAGAATCCCAACCAGCAATGTCTATGAGGCCAAAAAGTGGTAAAACTGTACAAGGTTGCAGATTTGCACAGGTTTAACTCTAACCAGAGATTTAGGGACCAAACTAAACAGCAGATGAACTGGTACAAAGAGAATCTAAAAGCAGAGAGAGGCTGCATCACATTCTGAGGCTTTTGTTTTAAAATTCAGTCATAACTGTAGGTGTGCCATGCACCAAAAACCCTTTGAAAGAGCTGCCTGTGCTCTCAATCTCCAATTGCCCTCCTCATTTTCTCCTGAATTTATCAAACCAAGTTTTCAGCAGCGCCACGCCGCCCCCACCGCCCACTCTTCACAAAAACTGCTTTCCTCACAGTCGCCGTGGAAGCCCCTGAGCCAACAGAACCATCTGAGTCCGCTTTTTCTGCTCCTCGGAGGGGAGCGCTTCCTTGGCTTGGCCACCAGACCCCACCTCCCTGGTTTCCTTCTGTCTCACAGGCTGCCCCTTTTCCAGTCCTCCTTGCTGATTCCTCCTCCGGTTGGCTACCTCCGAAGATGGTGGGACAGTATTCAACCCTTGGACCCCTTCTCCTCTCCACCTACCTCACTCCCTTGGCGGTACTCTCCAGTTTCATGTCTGTAGTGCCATCTATACACTGAGAATTCTTAAATTTAGATTTCCAGACTGAGCTTTTCCCCTAAGTTCCAGTATACACAACCACCTACTCATTTCCACCTGCATGTCTAAAACAATCTCAAAATGCCATTTGTTCAAACTGACCTCTTCATGTTCAATGGTCCCACACCAAGCCTGCTCCTCTCAAAGTTGTCTGCACCTCAGAAAATGCTGACTCTCTTCCTCAGTTGCTTGGGCCAAAAACCATACTATAAGACAGCTTTGCCTCCTCCTTTCTCCTACATAATTCACATTTAATCCATTAGAAAATCTCATCAGCTCCATCTTCAAAATATATCCAGAATCCACCTACTTCTTCCTGCCATTCCTGCCACCACCTTGGTCCTAGTCGCTGCTGGCTCTCACCCAGACCACTGCGATAACCTCCTGCCAGGTCTCTGGGCGTCTACTGTTGCCCTGTTCTGGACTGTTCTCAGTACAGCAGCCAAAGTGATTCTGTTAAAATACAAGTCAGATGCTCAGAACTGCCCAGTGTCTTTCCATCTCCTCAGAACAAAAGCCAGAATGCTCACAATGGCCTGGAAGGTCACCCCAATCTGGCGACTCTGTTGCCTATCTGCGTGCTCACTCACTCCAGCCACACTCACTCCTCGCTGTTCCCTCAAACACTCCAGCTATCCTGCAGCTTTAGGACCTTGCACTTGGGTTTCTCCTGCTTGGAATGCTCTTCTCCCACACAGCTGCCTAAGCAACTCTCTCACCTGCTTGCAATCTTTCCTCTGAAACAAAACAAAACAACGATGCAAACATACCCCCCGTGACTGGTCTGTTCTTTCTTCTTAGCACTTTCCTTCGTGTGGGTGTGTATTGTTTTTTAACTTTACTGTCTTTGTCTGCCTCCAGCCACTAGAATATAAGCTCCATGAGGGCAGGATTTTGTACTGTTTGATTTAATTACAGTACTCCCAAGACCTAGAATAGCACTTGGCACACAGTAGGGCCTCAACAAATTTTTTTCAACTCCAACAATGGCGCCTTTCAAGGACAGTGCAAGGGGGTTAACGAGCACACCCCAGCCAATGCCACAAGGTCATACTCACCGGTTATTTTTCTCTCATCTTTGCCACCTCTTTTTGGGGCTTTGCCTGATTGCAGCAATAAATCCCAGTGTTTGTTGCTCTACTTGACAAACTGTAGGTTACAGAAAATACCCAGGAGACCCCCCTCCACATTTCCCACCTCACAGGGGGACAGTGAGAGGGAACAAACACTGCTGACACTAATCTACCTACAGGTAAAGCTTCCTGTTTCAATTCCAATGCAATAAACATGCACTGAGCATTGATTTGCCTACAAGGCACAATACCAGGCATAGTGAAAATACAAAGAAAATGAAGACATGATTCTGAAGTCCTAGGCGCATAATTAAGTAAGGAAAACAAACATTAAAAAAACCTAACACAGCCCCTGTGATATGAACTACAAGAGCTCCACACGTTACGGGGGCACGGGATATGGGGCAATTATACACAGGGAAATGGTTGAAATCATCACCATAATAGTCTGATTTACGAAGGTTAAATTACACCCATAATAACTAGAAACTTGATAATTTACGAATTTAATAAGTTTTAATGTTGAAAAACTCAGCAATTAAGCTTTAGCCCTCTAGCCAAAATTATAATAAAGGAAGCAATCTCCCAAGATTTCAGAGGAGTCTAATGAGGCCAACAGAATAAAACAATGTTACTTTGAGTACTACTATAAAACCATAATTGTAAGTATTTTTACATAACAGAAGAAAAATGAAATAACATCTAGTTTCCAAACGTTTTCTAGTTGTTTTTTCTTCCTTAGGATGAAACTACATGGAAGCTCATAATTATTTATCAATTGGGAAAAATGAGATTAATATGGCTGAAGCACAATTTACAATGAGTCTCCTCTCCCAAAATAAAGACCCTTAAGTGTAGAAACCATCTATTTATAAAGAAGGCACTGTCTGAAGCCAGACAACAGACTATGAACTTCTAAAATGAAACATAACATCTAACAACTAAGCCTGAAGTTTATCAGGTAAAACAATTTTATGAATTAACAAGATGAACTATATCATAAACAGTAAAATGAATGCTAAATTTCACTAACAAGTCAGGTGGCATGTGGATCTCAGAACAGGAAAATTAATATACCATCAATAGGAGAAATGTCAAAAAGATGACTTCTACCCTGGAAATTCAGAAGTCTCACATTTGATCACAGCAGGTTATGAATCATCTACCTATTTTCAAGGCACTTCTGCCTAAACCATCATTTTATTTACACTTAAGAATTTTAACTCTACATTAGTCATGAGACATATAAGAGACGAAATACAATATTTTAAGTTACAAAAGATAACTACTGGAAGCTAACAGGGAGTTTTATGGGGAACCAAGCAGGTCATCAGTTAAGTGTGAGGTGCAATCTATTTATAACAGTACCTACCTTAAACAAGGCATATGCTGTTAGTGCATTTCCACTCTGAGAATTTTTCAGAATGTTTACTATGCTGTCAGGTAACCCAATAAGTTCTAGAAAAGGAACGACATTCACTCCTCTAAGAAAGAAACAGAAAGTAATTTATATATATACAAACTTTTAGGGATAAATATTTTCAAAAGATTATCTAAAAACACCAAGACCAAATTTTGTTTAAAAGTTGATTCTTCATTATCAAGCACTTTAATTTCACTCTAAAGAACAACATATACACAAAACATCAATATCGTCCTGTATCTTACTATTTACAACTTCTGCTTTGCTTCTGCACATGGACATACCTGATTAACATATTTAGAAAAACAGAATCATTTATCAGAGCAAAATTAATAGCTTTAAGTAACCTAAGAGGAAAAAAAGATGAGAATCATTTACCTGATCTTAGTTTCCTCAACCAAACACCACTTCCCTAGAATGCTCCAACTCAAACTTGAAGGCCTAAGATTTTTACCTCTAAAACTACATGTCACACTACATTGTTATTGTTAAAGCAAGTGATATTATAATATCATTTATTGTGTTATTACGCAAAGAATAAATGACTCTATGGGTTTGATGAAAACTTTAATTTTTCTAAAAGGATGCTTCTATTCTATTATCAGACTTAAAAGGCAAGTAAAGAAGCAATTATGATAAATGGCAACACATTTTTAGAGGCAGCGAGAGAAGGCAGAGAATGTCTCTAATCTGAGCTGTTAACCCCTAACTTACTTTTAGTTTCCCTGATTACCAACATTTTGCTACACTGGCTTTCTCGCTCTCTCACTGTCTGTAGTTTTTCAGATATTGTGACCCTTCACCCCTAAATCAAAACAAGGCTCTTGTTCTGCCCTGCACCTACATAAACATAATATAATAATCACATTCAGGAAATTTAACATATAAACAGGACATAGTTAATACAATAATACATATACTATTTAATATTAAAATGTCCTGAATTGTCCCAGTATGTCCCTCATTACTATCTTGTCATGTCTCTAGTCTCCTTTTCTCTAGAATTGCTCCCCAACACTTTCTGTTGAGGAGAAAGGCATAAGTCTTTCTTGATGTTTGGTACTTTTGAAGCTTCCAGGCCAGTTGCATGGTGGAATATCCCTCAATTTGGATTTATCTGCTTGTTTCCTTATGATTAGATTCAGGTTAAATATTTCTCAACAGGAAAACTGCACAGTTGATCCTGTCTCCATCTCAGTGCATCACAACCATGGCTACATAATGTCAGTTTGTTCCATCATCAGTGTGAGTAACTGTGACTCTTGGTTAAGGCAGGGTCCACAGGTTGCTCCACTGTACAGGTACTCTTTCTCTTTCTAATTAAGGGAATTGCCTGGATCCATTATTATTATGGTAGTTGTAAACTCCTAATTTATTTTTTATATTAAAAAATAATTTGATTAATTGGGAAAAAGTTGTCCCCTTCTCTGATTTCACTACAATACTAAGAAATCAGGAACTACTCTCAATAGATATGGCTGATCATCATCAAGGAAATTATCTACCATCTACAACAAGAGAAAATCAGATAACTGAAGGAAACTTTAAAGAGTTAAACTAAAAAATCCACTGCAAGTCCAATCTGGTTTCTTAGATAACAGAATCCTATTAAAGCAAGACTCTGTACTGCAAAGATTTAGCTATTCTATGGATCTAATCAAGTCACTGTGTACGGTAACATGCCACCACAACATGCTAATTATATTTTATAGTACCAATACAATATTATTTCATTAATCAACAACAACAAACCATGATAAAGATCAAACAATAATTACCTCAGACAACTTGCACAAGTACCCTTTGTAAAATAAAGCAACTGGTTCCACTTATTTCTAAAATACTGACTTGATGAATTGATTTTTTTAAAAATAAAAATAACTTTCATTTTCTTTGGAACTGCTAAATATGAAGCGTTAATGAGGGTCTGATTCAAACAGTAACAGACACTTGTTGTCACTTTTCACTCTGAAGTTCCTGTAGTCTGACTGAAATCTGTGCTTCACAAACCACCAGCTTTGTGGATGTTTCAGCTGATGTAGAAACATACAAGGGCAAAAGCATGTCCACAATCCAGATAAAGTATAGTAAAAATAAGTCAAGATTTTGCCTCACAGTGGATCTGTAACTTTAGGAACGTGAGGCCCAAACTAAGAGGCAGCTAAATGTAGGGAAAAAACTATCATCACAGAGCTACATTTGATCAAACAGAGCACTTCTGGTTAGAAGAAGATCTCTGCAAGCTTTTGCCAGACAGAAGTGACAACAAAGCTTAGTTTAAAATAAAAATCTATCAGCATGCACAATTTAGATCTCCCTGAAATAAAGTATTTCAAAAGTGTGTGATCTTTACTGCTGAGTTAACTAAATACAGAATGGCAGTTTGCTCTACAGTGCCTAGAAGGGGAGTAATGCTGGTTGTCAGAGTGACTAAAACAAACACTGGGCAGCAATGCAGTGTGATGGCAAGTGCCTATCCTTCAAGGTACAAACTATTTTTTCCCCTTTCTTTTAATAGTAAGTAGGCAACAAGCAAGTAAGAGAGAACTTTCTCCGGGTAAAACCAAATAAAATAAAGCCAGCTTCTTGTCAGTTGAATTGAAAATCTGTATTTAATACAATTCAATTTTCCAATAAAATCACCTCACAGTAAAAGATACACTGCCATACGAAAATATCCTAAATCCTATTTTCTAAGTATTACTTGTGATAAGATCTTCACTTAGAACAAATCAACTTTCAAGGATTATTCTAGGAAGCAACACAACCTGCACAATATAAATTAGCTATGTGATGCCATAACAGAACTGGACCAGTAGTGACAGCTGGACAGCAGTGATGGGTCTGGCACCCAAATTCCCATGCTGACAAACAGCGAAAAGGCAAGTTGCAGTGGATAAGGGATATGATTTTAAAGTGGGTAGTCTTACCACCATGTTTACACACAAGCATTCCGCAGAACGAGAAGGATAAAACTAAAAAGATGCATTTCAAGGGTATGGCAGAATGTCACCACAACTGCCTCAGGTACCAGACAGCACTGAAAAAATCTTAAATATAATTAATATCAGTAGGTTATGTGGGAGTCTGTTTTTTTAGTTATAGAACTCTTACTAAAGAAGGCAAGAAAAAGCGAAAGGAACAAAAGTACTCTTTTTAATAGTCCAAATGAGAATCTCATATTCAATGAATTAAAAACTTAGATTTCTCCCTCTAAGGCCAGGAGGTTCAATGCTTATTAAGGACAACCTAAGGAGGGAGAAGAAACAAATATTACTCATGTCATCCCCCACAATACTGAATCAGAAAAATCCTCAATGCCTCAAAAAAGAAAATTTAATATGTAGAAAGTCATTAATTAAATAGAAGAACTGAATGTCTATAATGATTTTTATTCAAAATGGCATGCGATTTTATGCTCTGTTAAAAAACTAAGGACAGTTTTGAAGACTTCTATACATATTATACATGTCTGGAAAATATCATTAATAAACAAAAAGATAATTCCATAAAGTGTACATACAAGGACCTTGTGCGAAGAAAGGAACAATTCTTGGAGAAAGAAAATAATGATACATAATGAAGGAGGATATAACTGAATAACAGGAACATAACAGAAAGAAAGATATGAAGAGAAACAGAACAGCACCAATTTACACAAGGTAAAAAATCCTTTCAGAACCTTGGTAAAGAAACATCTCTAATCCCATATTTCCCAGGAATAAGTACAGTCTCCATTCCATTATCTTTTAATTTAGTAAATAATAAGCTTTTTCCAAGGAGTGAGCTTTATATGTGAAACTACCATATTTTATTAATACCTTAACATGAAACCATTAAATATACCCAAAGTGAACCACTGAAAATCAGTGAACTTTTGGAAAGTATAAAATAGTTCTAAAGCCCCTGGGAGAGTTTACTAAGACATCAAAGTGGTCTACGATGTGCCTTCTCATGGCCTCAGGACAACGAGCTCCAGGCCGGTCACGCCCAGACCACCACAAGGAGAGCCCACACAGCAGTTCCAAGGCAACGGGCATGCGCAGGCACGCACTCGGCTCTGCTAGCAATGGAAACAAACCAGAAATCACGGAGCAGCTATTTCTCAGTGTACTCCTGCTTCTAAAACAATGTGAATAAGACAACTTACCTTAAAAGAAAGCAACAGTACTTAATAAGAAAGGGAAATTTAGAAATTCTATGTTTTACAATATCTTGAGGCTAGGCCCACCAAATTAACGTTTTAAAAAAAGTTTTAAGAACACCTAACATGAGATATACCATCTTAACAAATTTTTAAGTGTACAACAAATTAACTTCTAATCAGAACAACAGACCTTACCTTGACATTTATCAGACGTGAGTAACATTAAAACAGTCTTCCATTTGCTCATTTTTGTGTCTAGCACAGACGTTAACCAGGCTTTGGAAAAACATCTTACTAATTTCCCACCAAAATCATACACATGGCAAAATAATAGATATCTTTTGACTTTTGTGAATACTTTAAGAAATATGTAAGTAAGCTCACAGTGCTGTCAAGTTTCTGAAATCTGACACTATTTCTCTGCCATCCTAAATGTTGCTAGGAGATTAGCACGGTGATTAAGAGCATGGGCTTTGAAGTCCGACTCCGAGTTATTTTGGGAAAAGGTAAGTTATTTTGACTTACTCTTGCTTAATCTGTTTTCTCAATAAAATAGGAATGACTGCACTACTGCTTCACATGGCTGCTGAGGATCAAATGAGAAGACACAGTTAAAAAATTTAGCATAATACCTGCTGTGCACAGTATGTCAGCTATTACTACTATAACATGAAAAACAGCTACGAAAAGTAGTCACCCTCTATCAGTTAAAGACAAAGCATTTAAAAAACTATTTAAGGCTTTCATTAGCACAATTAAGATTAACATTCTGGTAAAACAGGGAAAGGTACTCAACCAAGCAAAAACTTACTTTATGGCTGCATAATAAAATGTTCCAAACCAAACACAAGAAGTTATTAGGTGCACTGGAATCAAAACTTTTCCATATTGTCTAAATGTTTTCTTAAATCGTTGGTAAAGACTAATAGATTTGTCTTGTAAAGGATCAGGTTCTTCCTTTTTGGGGGATGTGGCATTGGATGATATAACCCTCTTGGATAAAATATCTTGTTCCCACTGTTTATGGTGCAGGATCCCCGGTTGAGGTGGATGAGCATCAAATGGCTTCCTTTCCTTTGCAACACACTGGGCAGCAGGTAAGTGCAGCCATTGTGTTTGAGGGCCCTGTACCAAAACTACTCTGGATTCAGTTTTATACAAAAGTAATGGTCCCTTTATGTTTTGACAGTGTCCAAAAAGACCGGCTTTATGTGGTTCCGTGCATGTCCTATGTGCCACCTGGAGTACAGTCCTTGATACATTCCATTGCATTTTGAAGAATGGTGACTGATGGATTTCAGCTTCTACAGAGACTGGATTTAAAAAAAAAAAATTAGATTATGTATAGATTTCCATTTTAAACCAACCCCCTAAAAATAAATCATTAACTATTAGGAAGTAAAAGGACAGATATTACTACCAAATCCACAGAAATTAATATTAAGGAATACTGTTCTAACATAGCTCAATTTTAAAATTTCATTAAAACACATCATTTAAATAGGATATAGTAAACAAGTCCAGCGAACAGCATGGAGAGTAGTGTTTTGAGGCTACTGTATTACTACAAAAGGGGTGTCTGTAGGGCTTCTGCTACTCTACAAAGAAACAGTGTAACATAATGGAAAAAATCATAAGATCTGGAAGCAAAAGACCTGGGCCCTAATGTTTGGGGGACAATTCCATGCAATTCCCTTTTAGACTCCTAGCCCAAGTCCACTAGTAAAATGAGGATTACTTCAGAGGGTTGTTACACGAATTACAGGAAATTTCTGATGTAAACCTGCTTTTGTAAGTGTTAGTTATTATTACAAATGTTAAGGTCTGATGAATAGTTGATATCAGTATTCATTTATTCTATAATGCCTTTAGACTAAATTACATAAACCTGTAAATCACACATTATTGGTTGGTGAGAAGAGAGAGAGACTTTTCCAGATATCTGAAACTTTTTGTCAGAAGGACAGTAGAACATAATTTTAAAAGAACACAGACTTAAGCATAAGATGGAACCATTAGAGTTAATAGTGGTAAGTGGTATTATTTTGAGCAAATTACCTCTCTAGACATACATTTCCCTACTGGTAAAAGACAATTAGATTATGCATTCCTACAGAGCAAATCAGTTTCCTTCCCTCGGCATCAAGTAGTGCCACCTGACCCCCAATCTCCACCCTGCCTCCCACCAGTTTCTTAGTACTTCTAATATGTTGAGAATAATCTTATTTTTTAAATTGTATGCTAAATAAGAGTCAACAAGATTTGAGTTAGCACCCCAGTAAATTAGCACTCCGATAAATACAGATACTCCATTTTACATGAACATTATCTGAGTACAAAGTTGACTGTCACCATATAAAAACATCCACTAATGAATTGTCCCCCTATAAAATGAATCCCTTGACTCATACCCTCCCTAATTAATAATTAACAGCAGCTTCTACCAGGGTCTCACAGATAATCCAACAACACAATGCAAGTAAGTTAATTTAAACTGCAAATCTTGCAAGACAAACAGGCTCCCAGGAAGCCTTTAAAAGTGATACTGGAGATTGCTATAATCAAAAGCAAAGTCAATGACAAGTAACAATCTGAAAATCAGACCAGTTAACAACCAAAGAGAAAAGCTACAGGGATACGGGCAGGTGCTTCAAATAAAGAGTGATTTAAATATTAAATGACTAAGGCCAGAGAGAAAAATGATTAGGCCCTTAATTATTTTTACAAAACTGACTTACTATTTGCTGTGAAAATCAGACATTAAGTAAAAGATATATTATTACAATCTATATCTTTATCTATAAATCTATGCTACTCGTATGTCAAGGGGAAAAATCACCAATTGGTTGTTTATTCTAAGAATTAGCTCAGTTGGAATTATAAACTAAAATTTGTCAAATATAAAGTTCAGCTTCATTTTTCATACAAAAAAAATTCCTTTTGTACCTTTTACTTTACAGTTTTGGTCTCTACTTTGGTTGGATTTATTCTGAGGCTTTTCTCTAGCGCCATTATCTTTGAATGATTCCTGTCCATGGCTTTAGTGCAGGTGGGTTTTCTGAACGCAAAAGGCTTTCTTTTTTTCTTTTAAACTTACTTCCTTTACAGGGCAGTTTTCCAGAAGTTGAAGTTCCCATAAGTCTAACTTTCAGATCACTGGATTATTATGTGTTCGTGCATATGAATAAAAGAAAAAGGATTTTTTTTAAAAAAAGGTATCTTTCTAAGTTTCCAGTTTGCACCCTTTCCCCTGGTTTCCCCAACTACACCCTCCCATTTTTAAAAACTATCTTTATCCTCTCCACTTCTTATTGCCTGTTTCTAAAAACATCTTTATTGAGATGTAATTCACATACTATACAATTAATTCATTTAAGATGTAGAATTCAATGGTTTTTAGTATATTCACAGTTGTGCAACCATCACCACAACCTAAGTTTAGAACATTTTCATTACCCCCAAAAGAAATCCCATATCCATTAGCAGTCACTCACCATTCTCCTCACCCTCCCAGCCCCAGGCAACCACTAGTCTACTTCCTATCTCTCTATATTCGTCTATTCCAGACATTTCATACAAATGGAATCACAGTATGTGGTCTTTTGTGATTGGCCTCTTTGACTTAGCAGGTTTTTTCAAGGGTCATCTCTGTACTACCTCTTGAGCTAAGATTTACCTTTATTCCCTGAGAAATCTCTGGGCTAGTGTCATCCAAACCTGGCTGTATATCAGAATCACAGGGGGTTGGAGACGCTGCACAGGAGTGGAGGTGGTCTGAAAATACAGATTCCTGGTGTCCACCTAGACCTAATAAATCAGAATCTCCTGCAGCCAGGTCCCATCCGACAATATGAATTTGGGGGCCATCTCTCCAGGTCCAGCAAATCGCTTCAGTGCCAGAGGCAGCATAGTGGCAAAGGTATCATTCATCACCATCATCATAATGGGAAGATGTTTTTGAGCCCCCACTATGTGGTAGGTGTTTTGTAAACACTTTACATGTATTAACTCATATTATCCTTATAACAACCCTATGAAGGAGGGACTATTGTCATTATTGTGTATCTGAGGACACCAAAGCACGGACAGAGAAAATAACTTGCCCAATGTCAATCAACTGTTGAGCAAAGCAGCTGGGATTCAAACCTAGTTTCACCACAGGCCCATGCTGGGTCACTAAGCTAGAAGGCCACTTCTAGAACAAAGAGACAGTGACAATTTTCAGGAGACCAAGATATATGGTAAAAGTTCCCTAAGGAAACATAGGGCCCAAGAAATGAGTCTTAAATTTTAAACTGAAAACCAAAATTAAATTAATTTAAATTTAAATGGCCACACGTGGGTAATGGCTACAATATCTGACAGTGCACCTCTAGACTTCCAAAGGTAATCAATCACAATAGTGATGACATACACAATAACACTCACTAGATTTCAAAGAACAAACCCACTCCAGATGAGTGCAAGTAAAAGCAGAGGGGACGTACAGTAAGTATCACAACTATTCTAGAATGATAGGCTTCAGGAACAAAAAAAAACAAAGCAAAGTAGGAATTATCTTGTCTCATGGCCAGTACTTGTGTATAACGGTCTCAACTCACCGGCAGCTTCCATTTCTGGATTTTTACTAGTCTGCTCATCTTTTCAATTAAAGATAAAAGTTTTTGGTTATTGGTCAATGATGGAGGTGCCATTTCTCATAAACCCTACCCAGCTCAACTCAGCTACATCTGGACAAACCGATGAGTGGACATGAAGAAATTATGAACTAAGAGACCCCTAAAATATGTCTGGTACAAATGCAGAACTGCAGTGATGAACAACTTAATCTTGAATTTCTTCCAATGAAACACAGTAATTTCAATAATAAACTTTTAAAATCATGAAGTTTAGCTTAGTTTATGAAATTGTAGCTAATCAATCCAATAATACCCAGTGTCCTAGAGACAGGCCCAAGACCAGGCATGAGGAAGCAGTAAAACACATATGTGAAAGTTAGGAGCCTCTCATGTAGTAGTCACGATGCAGAGAGGAGGAGAGTGAAGACAGCGGTCAAGAGTAAACCAATAAGGACGCAGTGGGAATCAAAAAAAGAGAAGTTGAGTTAAAGGAACAGAGGGGAGTGTAGGATGGATTGGAACAAATGCCAGTGAGAAAACAAATATTAGAGTGCTGTTGGGATTCTACAGCAGCTATATCCTGAAATTCCAGTTCCATAAAGCCAAATAAGTTAGTTCACGAGATTTCCTTTCTTCCCTCTAGATCCTTACCAAACCCAAGCTGCTCAAGATTATATGAACACATTTGCATTCCTCACAACCTAGAAGCCTAAGACATTCAGGCAGCACTGGAAATACTGCTTGTCCAAGTGAGTGGACAAGGAATTAACGAATTTATACTACATTCTTTTATAAAAAATGAAAAGACATTGACCAAAAAGTTATATAGAGTTGAAACAACAACTGGCAATAGCAAGATTTGGTTCTCAATTGTGTGAATTTGAAAAACTCTTCTGTTAAACAAAATCTTATTTGGAAGTCCAATAAAGAACATAAACAAAGCAAAAATTGCTCAGGTTAAAGCAAGACTGAGAGGAATGGACCTTCTGGTTTGCTCCCACCTCCTGCAGCCCACAGGGCACACCCACAGAAGCTCTAACTGTGAAAACACAATCACAAAGTAGACAAATTCTCTGTACATGACCGTCCTACTTCATTTAATTGCCATTTTCCTGTAAGTCACAACACAGGCACTAATTCCTTCTGAAGTCCCTGAATCTCACAATCTGGATAAGAAACTCCACTGAAAATTTATCAGATATTGGAATTTTCTTTTCTCTGTGGATTCTGTTTCTGGAGGGCAAGAAGTTTGTCTTTATACCTGCTAGTTACAGGGACTAGTGCAAAACCTGGCATCTAGTGGGTGCTCAGTAAAATTCAGTTCAGTGAATGTCAACAATTTGTCAGTTTTTAAAAGACTCAATTTATCTCTAACAAATGACTTCTGAAATCAAGGTAGTACCTTTAGTTTGCGAAGTTTTGGGGACTGACAAAAATTAACATTGTCTTTTAAAGGGAATTTAAAATAATTATGATTAGTATATTAAAAGTGCAAATGGAAAAAAGTAAACAACATGCAATATAAGCAGAATCGAAATTCTAAGAAAGAATCTACCAAATAAAAAACCGTAACAGAAATGAAGAAGGCCTTCAATGGGCTCATGGCCAAGCCAGACTCGACTCACACTCAACACAGCCAAGGACAGAATCAGTGAGCCTGAAGAGAGGTCAGTAGAAACAAATCTAACTGAAATGCAGGACAGAGGGAGGGAGGAATAGAGAAAGAGCCAACAAAAAATAAAACAAAAAAAAACAGAACAAAACATCCAAGCACTATGGGACAATTTCAAAAGGCGTAACACACATAATAGAAATGCCAAAAGGAGAAAAAACAGAGAAAGGAGCAGAAAAAATATCTGAAGTAATATAAAGTTTGAGAATTTTCAAAAATTACTAACAAACACCAAACCACAGGTCCAGGAAGCTCAGAGAACACTAAGCAAAATAAATATCTAAAATCCATATCCAGGCATATCATGTTCAAGCTGCAGAAAACCAAAGACAAAATGTTGAAAGAAGCTAGATGGGAAAAAATACCTTACTTATAAGGGAAAACACATAAAGGTTTGAGCCAACTTCTCATCAGAATCCACGCAAAAGAGACTAAAGTAAACATTTAAAGTGTTTAAAGAAAAACCACCAAACTAGAATTCTATATCCAGCAAAATTATCCATCAAAGGTGGAAAAGAAATAAAGACTAAAGTCTGATAAGTCAGACAAAGAAAAAATTGAAGGAATTCATTGCCTGTCAGTAGACTTGCCCTTCAAGAAGGAAATAATTAAACTCAGATCTACATAAAGAAAAGAAGAGAATCAGAGAAGGAATCAATAAAGGCAAAATAAAATCTTTTTTATTCTTAATTGATCTAAAAGGTATATGTCTGAAGTAATAATAATGATGATGTATTATATGATTAATAGCACATGAATAAGTGAAATGAAAGACAGTGCTGTCACAAAGAATGAGAGGGAGGAACTGAGAACACTCTGATAAGGTACTTACAACAATATATGAAGTATTATAGTGTTATTTGAAAGTGGACTTAAATTAGATAAAAATGTATATTACGAACTCTAGGAAAGCCATTAGAAAATTTATTTTAAAAAGTACAATTGGTACACTGAAAGTGGAAATAAAATAGAATCATATAAAATGATCAATTAAAATCAGAGAAGGCTGAAAAAGAGAGGGAAAAAGAAACAAAGGACAAATGGCAATGAATAAAAAACACTTACAAACATGGTAGATATTAATCCAAAAATGTAAAAATAACCTTAAAAGTGAATTGTCTAAACATGCCAATTAAAAGATAGATTGTCAGAGTGGACTAAAAAAAAATAGGGCCAACTAGATGTTGTCTAAAAAACATCCATTTTAAATATAAAGACTCAAATAAGTTACATGTCAAGGGATGGAGAAAGATACACCACATTAATACTAACTAAAAAAAAAATAGCTGGAGTAACTATACCAATTTCAGACAAAGTAGACTTCAGAACTTCCTTGATTATCAGTGAAAAAGAGGATTATTTCATAACAATAATGTAATGATAATGTAAAGAGAACATAATAACCCTAAACATGTATGTACCTAACAAGAGAGGAGCAAAGTACACAAGGCAAAAGCTGACAGGAAGAAACAGATATATCCACTATTATAATTGGAGACTTCAATACCCCTCTGTCAGTACCTGATAGATCCAACACACAGAAAATCAGTAAGGATATAGTTGAACTAAACAACACTATTAATCAACTCGATCTAATTGACATTTATAGAATACTCTATTCAGCAACAGCAGAATATACATTCTACTCAAGCTTATAAAGAACTTTCCACAAAATAGACCACATCCTGGGCCATAAAATATACGTGAACAAAGTAAAAGAACAGAAATCATGCAGAATATGTTCTTGGATTATAATGGAATTAAACCAGAAGTCATTAACAGAAAAATATTTAGGAAAGCTATTTAGGAAAACCTTTAAATATATGGAAATTAAACAACACGCTTCTAATAATCCAGAAGTCAAA